CATTTGTTTGGTACTTATATGGGTATGTGTATGGTACTTATATGGGCATGTGTTTGGTACTTATATGGGCATGTGTATGGGACGTATATGGGCATGTTTATGGTACGTATATACATGAATATGTACGTATATAAATGAATACGAATATAAATGAATATTAGTGAAGTTACTGTCCCTGGCGTTTAACTGTATTATAATTTTTGATGTCATGTAACTGGATCAGTTACCGTACAAAGTTCAGTTCCAAGTTTCTTCTTGCCTTCTACCTTACACAGACAGTCATACTTGTTTTATAGATAGAGAAGATAGACAATGATTAAATCAAGTAATAAAAACTTGACCAGAGGATGAAGACAAACATGGGGTACAGTCCGCCGCCTGCGAAGAACACGAGCCCGGCCGAAATCGTCATTTTTCTCAAAACTCAAAATCAAAACCAGCCATAGAATCGTTTTGAAAATGTTACCATTGTGTTTACCACAACAATTTACATTTCTTTCTGTTAAGTCTTTCTTTGCTAATTTTAAATATTAAGGCCTATACTGCTATATTTACTGAGATAAAGGGACTTCAAATGTCAAACATATCATCGTGTTTTCTCAACAAATTACAAAGGAAAATGAGTTGTAAAAAATATAATAATAATTATAATGAGCTAAATAATAAATGGATACTCAAAATAATATTATATCTATATTCCTCATATTCTTAGAGACTACTATGCATGGAACGTATATGGGAATATGTATGCTACTTATATAGGCATATGTATGGTACTTAAATTGGCACATGAATGGTACTTTTAATGGAATATGTATTGTAATTATAAGGGCATATGTATGATACGTATAAGGACATATATTTTGTACTTATAAGGGCAGAGGTATGGTACTTACTTGGGCATATGTATGTTACTTATAAAAGCTTTTGTATGGTACCTCTATGGGCATACGTATGTTACTTATTTGGGCATGTGTATGGCACGTATGTGGGCATTTGTTTGGTACTTATATGGGTATGTGTATGGTACTTATATGGGCATGTGTTTGGTACTTATATGGGCATGTGTATGGGACGTATATGGGCATGTTTATGGTACGTATATACATGAATATGTACGTATATAAATGAATACGAATATAAATGAATATTAGTGAAGTTACTGTCCCTGGCGTTTAACTGTATTATAATTTTTGATGTCATGTAACTGGATCAGTTACCGTACAAAGTTCAGTTCCAAGTTTCTTCTTGCCTTCTACCTTACACAGACAGTCATACTTGTTTTATAGATAGAGAAGATAGACAATGATTAAATCAAGTAATAAAAACTTGACCAGAGGATGAAGACAAACATGGGGTACAGTCCGCCGCCTGCGAAGAACACGAGCCCGGCCGAAATCGTCATTTTTCTCAAAACTCAAAATCAAAACCAGCCATAGAATCGTTTTGAAAATGTTACCATTGTGTTTACCACAACAATTTACATTTCTTTCTGTTAAGTCTTTCTTTGCTAATTTTAAATATTAAGGCCTATACTGCTATATTTACTGAGATAAAGGGACTTCAAATGTCAAACATATCATCGTGTTTTCTCAACAAATTACAAAGGAAAATGAGTTGTAAAAAATATAATAATAATTATAATGAGCTAAATAATAAATGGATACTCAAAATAATATTATATCTATATTCCTCATATTCTTAGAGACTACTATGCATGGAACGTATATGGGAATATGTATGCTACTTATATAGGCATATGTATGGTACTTAAATTGGCACATGAATGGTACTTTTAATGGAATATGTATTGTAATTATAAGGGCATATGTATGATACGTATAAGGACATATATTTTGTACTTATAAGGGCAGAGGTATGGTACTTACTTGGGCATATGTATGTTACTTATAAAAGCTTTTGTATGGTACCTCTATGGGCATACGTATGTTACTTATTTGGGCATGTGTATGGCACGTATGTGGGCATTTGTTTGGTACTTATATGGGTATGTGTATGGTACTTATATGGGCATGTGTTTGGTACTTATATGGGCATGTGTATGGGACGTATATGGGCATGTTTATGGTACGTATATACATGAATATGTACGTATATAAATGAATACGAATATAAATGAATATTAGTGAAGTTACTGTCCCTGGCGTTTAACTGTATTATAATTTTTGATGTCATGTAACTGGATCAGTTACCGTACAAAGTTCAGTTCCAAGTTTCTTCTTGCCTTCTACCTTACACAGACAGTCATACTTGTTTTATAGATAGAGAAGATAGACAATGATTAAATCAAGTAATAAAAACTTGACCAGAGGATGAAGACAAACATGGGGTACAGTCCGCCGCCTGCGAAGAACACGAGCCCGGCCGAAATCGTCATTTTTCTCAAAACTCAAAATCAAAACCAGCCATAGAATCGTTTTGAAAATGTTACCATTGTGTTTACCACAACAATTTACATTTCTTTCTGTTAAGTCTTTCTTTGCTAATTTTAAATATTAAGGCCTATACTGCTATATTTACTGAGATAAAGGGACTTCAAATGTCAAACATATCATCGTGTTTTCTCAACAAATTACAAAGGAAAATGAGTTGTAAAAAATATAATAATAATTATAATGAGCTAAATAATAAATGGATACTCAAAATAATATTATATCTATATTCCTCATATTCTTAGAGACTACTATGCATGGAACGTATATGGGAATATGTATGCTACTTATATAGGCATATGTATGGTACTTAAATTGGCACATGAATGGTACTTTTAATGGAATATGTATTGTAATTATAAGGGCATATGTATGATACGTATAAGGACATATATTTTGTACTTATAAGGGCAGAGGTATGGTACTTACTTGGGCATATGTATGTTACTTATAAAAGCTTTTGTATGGTACCTCTATGGGCATACGTATGTTACTTATTTGGGCATGTGTATGGCACGTATGTGGGCATTTGTTTGGTACTTATATGGGTATGTGTATGGTACTTATATGGGCATGTGTTTGGTACTTATATGGGCATGTGTATGGGACGTATATGGGCATGTTTATGGTACGTATATACATGAATATGTACGTATATAAATGAATACGAATATAAATGAATATTAGTGAAGTTACTGTCCCTGGCGTTTAACTGTATTATAATTTTTGATGTCATGTAACTGGATCAGTTACCGTACAAAGTTCAGTTCCAAGTTTCTTCTTGCCTTCTACCTTACACAGACAGTCATACTTGTTTTATAGATAGAGAAGATAGACAATGATTAAATCAAGTAATAAAAACTTGACCAGAGGATGAAGACAAACATGGGGTACAGTCCGCCGCCTGCGAAGAACACGAGCCCGGCCGAAATCGTCATTTTTCTCAAAACTCAAAATCAAAACCAGCCATAGAATCGTTTTGAAAATGTTACCATTGTGTTTACCACAACAATTTACATTTCTTTCTGTTAAGTCTTTCTTTGCTAATTTTAAATATTAAGGCCTATACTGCTATATTTACTGAGATAAAGGGACTTCAAATGTCAAACATATCATCGTGTTTTCTCAACAAATTACAAAGGAAAATGAGTTGTAAAAAATATAATAATAATTATAATGAGCTAAATAATAAATGGATACTCAAAATAATATTATATCTATATTCCTCATATTCTTAGAGACTACTATGCATGGAACGTATATGGGAATATGTATGCTACTTATATAGGCATATGTATGGTACTTAAATTGGCACATGAATGGTACTTTTAATGGAATATGTATTGTAATTATAAGGGCATATGTATGATACGTATAAGGACATATATTTTGTACTTATAAGGGCAGAGGTATGGTACTTACTTGGGCATATGTATGTTACTTATAAAAGCTTTTGTATGGTACCTCTATGGGCATACGTATGTTACTTATTTGGGCATGTGTATGGCACGTATGTGGGCATTTGTTTGGTACTTATATGGGTATGTGTATGGTACTTATATGGGCATGTGTTTGGTACTTATATGGGCATGTGTATGGGACGTATATGGGCATGTTTATGGTACGTATATACATGAATATGCCTACCTAACCTAACCTAACCTATCTTTATAGGTTAGGTTGGGTTAGGTAGCCAAAAAAGTTAGGTTAGGTTAGGTTAGGTAGGTTAGGTAGTCGAAAAACAATTAATTCATGAAAACTTGGCTTATTAGGCAAATCGGGCCTTGCATTGTAGGCTCAGAAGTGCGTTCTGGCTACTAGGTACGACATATATATATATATATATATATATATATATATATATATATATATATATATATATATATATATATATATATATATATATATATATATATATATAAGGCTTATGCAACCATATTTACTGAGTTACAGCCACCTCAAATATCAAACATATCATCGTATTTTCTCAACAAATTACTAAAGAAAATGAGTTGTAAAAAAATGTAATAAAATGTTTTGTTCACATTGTTCATTGATATTCGTGAACTTGTGTATTGATGTCTTGAGAGTTAGGTCGGATTCTGAGATTCATTCATCAACTCTTCAGAGATAGTGTGTGAGAGAGAGAGAAGGAACGATTCTGAGGTGAATTTCTATGGTATTTACATAAATTATTTAACATTTACAATAACTGTTATTATCCTAAATAATCAGTGCTATGAGAGTGGTTGTGTTGAGTCAGTTCAACTGAAAAACATCTAGTTGATGAATTAAAAAATAATACAAAAAGTGTAATTGCAGATATTCTGGAAAAAACTTTGATCCTCAGTGCTACTAATGGTTGCACAGAAAAAAATGACATATATAGAGAATGTGAGAGATGTGAGATGTATACAGTGAGAGATGTAACCTATTTCTATAATCACAGTGATATACATATTCCGAGATTTATTATTCTTTGGGCATTTGTTCATTAATTGAGCAGACGTCATTTAAGCACAGCTATATTTTTTATTATTATCTTTATTTTTTTTAATAGGACAAGAGATCCAGTATACATAAGCTGTTTCTCCAGGAAAAATACTGTACAAAATATTTTACAATCGGTCATGAAGAGGTTGATGGCTGTGAGAGGTTGAGAGCCTCTGATGTGGCAAGCGAGAAGCACTGTTTATGCCCCGAGTGATGTTGAGACCTCGATGGAGGGAAAGGCAGAGACATGGGAGGACCCTCATGTCCAAGATGAAAACAATTTACCGCTTAACCTGTCAGTAGTCGCACGCTGGAGCTTCTCTTGATGCCGGTGATGCGGTTCACACATTGTGGTAGACGAGGCAGTGATGTAGTGGGCGGCCAGAGAGGGCCGTGGGATCCCAAGAGGAAAGTAGAGCAAAGTATCTGTTGTGAGGGAACTTTATATATCGCAAGAGGGCGGGCAGGTACACGTCGTGGGCCCAGCCAGGGCGGCGCCTGGCGGGCCTCGGTGCTCCAAACTGTAGTTTCGAGGTTTCTGTAGCCAGGTCGACGCTGTTCGGGTGGACATCTGAGAACAGAGAAGGTTAAATCAACAAGACGATATTCATTTATATCAATTCGATTAATTCATCTTGGATATTCCAGCTTGTTTTGCTTAGATATTTATTGTAATACTGAAAATATACCCCTGAGATGGTTTTTGCCGAATATATTCTTTCATTATATCTCTGCAGCCAGATAACAAATTTATTTTCATCTGTATTAGTCTGTTTCCTTCAGTGTATTACTGAATGTTGGTCAAAGTCACTGGGTGATCGTATGTGTGTCTTAAGGGATCGTCATTGTGTTTTAAGTGTTCATTAGAGTATGTCTAAGTGCACAGCAGTAGACCTTACAGTAGCACAGTTGTTCAATAATATGAATGTTGGAATAATACTTCATAATAGCTCAGCTAGTGTCACTAGTGAGCGCGTCAGGACAGTGGCTCTGGTAGCAGGAAGGAGATGATGAGTCTCGAGATTTGTTTGAGGAGCTGTGTGGTGCTTCGAGAGAGGAGTTGTATGGTGTTAACACCTCTTAAACAGGAGCAGGTCGTGGTTATCATACAGGAAACAGAGAATGAGGAGTAAAAGAGTTAAGTAATAGAGTTTGAAACAGTCACAAGTGGAATGTCATTGGGCTTTGTCTTTGAATCCCATGTTGACCAAACCATACATTAGAAAGTGAAGGGACGACGACGTTTCGGTCCGTCCTGGATCATTCTCAAGTCAATTGTGACAAGGGAAGGAGGCGAGGCACTAAATATGTGCTTTAATAGATGCACACTAAACAGTGTGTGGTTTAGTCAACATATTTCAGCCACGTTATTGTGACTCTCCGTCTGCATTTGAATTCCATGTTTGTTTACAGTATACAACAATAATTTAAATTTAGAAGTGAAGAATAACATTAGTAGAGTCCCTGATGGCACTAAAATAGGGTATTACAATCAGATAAAGCTGCAGAAACGTTATTACTAACAACGTTGATAAACCTGAGCTCACCTGAGCTGTCTGGAAACGACCTCTGTAGATCATAACGTAAGAGTTGGAAGGGTTGGAGTCCGTGCCGGCTCTTGGCGGAGCCACGGGCCACCGACTCATGTTAAACACCATCTTCACCACCTGAAACACAACCAAAACTTTTCTTGTTGCAATAACAACAAAAGAACAGACGAATTAAATGGTTACACTTCGAATAAGACTAGAGTGGTTCAATGGCTTTGTGTGTAGTTAGGACAAGGTTAGGTTTGGTTGGTTACTTAGGATGGGTTATGAGTATTATACTCACAAAATATATTAGTCTCATTACTTTGCATAAATATATACCTATACAATTATTGATAATCTATTAAATTATAAGGGATCCAATCTACATCTGAAAATAATGGAAGGGACGAAGTTTCGTTTCGTCCTGGACAGTTCCTGGACGATGATCAAGTCACGTTAGTGTGGCTTACTGTCTGTATGAAGGATTCTTGTTCTTGTTGAATTTTGTTCCTTCGTAATGCTATTACATATCAACATGAGCACCCGTTACGCACATGGTTATATTACAGTAGTTTTCCTTCTTGGATCTTGGTCCAAGCACCTTTTGCCCATCGATATAATTAGTTAAAACTAGGAAACGTCAATGCAAGTGTTGAGCAAATAGAATGATAATCATATTTTCTCTCTCTGTCTCTCTCTCTCTCTCTCTCTCTCTCTCTCTCTCTCTCTCTCTCTCTCTCTCTCTCTCTCTCTCTCTCTCTCTCTCTCTCTTAGGGCATTTCCCTAACTCCAGTTCTCTCCAGGGGGATGCAGTTGCCACCACCCTTACCTGTTGTTTAAAGATCTTGGTAGCCAGGGTGTAGAGGATAGGGTTGAGGGCTGAGTTAACAGGAAGAACGAAGACAGCCAGCCAAGCGTAGAGGGTCCTGTCGATCACAACACCTGATGGGACGAATGAGGTGTAAGGATTATTAAAACATTTAGTTGAAGACATTGCCATTAACTCAACTGGTGGGTGTTTACCATGTTGTGTTAACCCCACTAATGAATGTCTATCGTTTTGTCTAAACCCAACTTTTAGTTCAACTCTCTAAGTTACACTTACTGCCGGTTGTACTAACACACTCATTATTGTAAAGTCCAAACTTAAGTACAATGAATTAAAAGCACACTAGTAGGGAGCTACTAATTATCTACAGTTTCAAAGTAAATATGACCTGGGAAGGAGAGGTCTAAACTCAATGCCTGAGTCAATGAACAGTTTGAAATCCGTGCAGGCAGTTAAGTAAGCACTGACCTCCGAGCGCTATGACCTTGATTATAATAACAGGCATCCAGCAGAGGAAGTCGGTGCCGACGATGAAGGCGAAGCGCTTGACCAGGATCCGGTCCTGCTTCTCCTGGGTGGACCTGAGGGACATCTGCGACTCCCGGATGGCCAAGATCATCCTGCCGTAAGCGTAGGCGATGAACATGAAGGCCACGAGGTTGAAGCCGATGAATATGATCGCCGAGTGCTCCCATGCCTGAGGATGGGAGGAAGGTGTAAGGGAGGCTGGCATGAGGCAGGCAGACATGAGAGAGGCAGGTAGACATGAGAGAGGCAGGCAGACATGAGAGAGGCAGGCAGACATGAGAGAGGCAGGCAGACATGAGAGAGGCAGGTAGACATGAAAGAGGCAGGCAGACATGAGAGAGGCAGGTAGACATGAGAGAGGCAGGCAGACATGAGAGAGGCAGGCAGACATGAGAGAGGCAGGTAGACATGAAAGAGGCAGGCAGACATGAGAGAGGCAGGTAGACATGAGAGAGGCAGGCAGACATGAGAGAGGCAGGCAGACATGAGAGAGGCAGGCAGACATGAGAGAGGCAGGCAGACATGAGAGAGGCAGGTAGACATGAGAGAGCCAGGCAGACATGATAGAGACAGGTACATACGCCTTCCTCGGCCCATACATTACGAACGCTCACCTTGGCGTAGGGGTCGTGGATGTGGAGAGGGAGACACATGCCGTTACTGCCGTAGAAGTTGTCGCCGTAGTAGTGGATGCCAAGGAGAGGGAGGATGGCCAGGAGCGCTGCCAGGGACCAGGTGGCGACCATCACCCCGACAGCGATGGGCAGCGTCCTCTCCTTGAGCGTGAGCGGGTGGACGATGGAGAAGTAGCGGTCGAGGGTGATGGTAGTGAGGGTGAACACCGACGCCTCCGAACTCAGAGTGCTCAGGAACCCTGTCGTTCGTGGAAGAGAAGAAAAACATTTGGAAATGGGCCACCCCGTGAAGGACTTCCTGGATACATGTGAAATTTTAAAGGAATTTTAAAGGAACTCTTTTCTTTGTTACAAACAAAGAAAAGAGAGATTCCGGTAGTTGATTTTATACAAAATTTATAAAGATTTATAAATTTATAGAGTAGAACTAAATTTATACAAAATAAATATACCAGAAACAGTTTTTTCAATAATATTAAAAATAGGAATGGTTGGATAGTACAACATAAATAATTACTTTGGAAATAAATTGGATAGTTATAAATGAACCTGAATAGTTTAATTCTTGTATACCTAATCATCAGATCTTCGGAATAGTAGCAAAATAGTCTTAAAAATATTGAATTAGCTGGATAATTTGAGAACACATTGAATGACAACACACACACACACACACACCCACACACACACATACACACACACACACACACACGCACGCACACACACGCACACACACACACACACACACACGCGCACACACACACACACACACACACACATACACACACACACACACACACACACACACAGCTTCATAAGAATGTTTCACCTCGTGCCTCGTAGACTTCTGTAAACACCATTCAAAATAATACAATAGGCATTAAATTTCTCTGCTTTTGTTTATCATAGTGTTGAATTTCTAGTATTTTATCATAGATATGTTGTTGAATGTCTAGTATTTTATCACAGATATGTTGTTGAATGATATGTTGTATTTTATCATAGATATGCTGTTGAATTTCCTGTACAATATCAGAGAGAGGTGTTGAGGCACTCACCACACAGGTTACACTGCCAAGACCGTCTCCAGGAGTACTCGTGACGAATGTATGACCCTCTGAAGAAGGCGTCGTAGGAGGCGATGATGAAGAGATATACTCCCATCAGCAGGTCGGAGAGGGAGAGGTTCTTGATGTAGAAGGAGTGGACCTTATTGGTTTCCTTAACTACTAAACGTCCAATGAGGACCAGCAGGTTTCCGGCGCAGGCCAGGACGCCCATCACCCACACACTGCTCCCACCGGTCACCCACCGGTCACCCACGGGTCACCCACGGGTCACCCACAGGGAATAATGCATATTAAAATAGCGAAAATGTTGAGAGTAGATGGTAACGTCGCAGTGTATATAGTCGCGGTAGATATAGAAGTTTGATGACTGTGGCGATGGTGGTTGTGATGTTAGTAGTGGTGTGTCGACAGTGGTGGTGTTAGTAGTGTTAGTAGATTATGCTACATTGACAGATCAATCAGAAAGTAATTGGGAGGCATATATATATATATATATATATATATATATATATATATATATATATATATATATATATATATATATATATATATATATATATATATATATATATATACATCTTTCATAGAACCTGCCTTTTGAAAACCTGCATTTTATAGAATCTGCCTCTTGAAAATTGCCTTTTTATAGAATCTATCTTTTGAAAACTGTCTTTTATAGAACATTTCCTTTAAAAACAATCGCCCTTCTAAAAAATCTGTTTTCTGAGAACCTGTTAATCAGCTTACCTGACTCGAAGGACAAGACTGTCCAGGAGGTGTTCAACAGAGGAGATGCCGTCGCCTTTGGGCTCACAGACGCGCACATGCAGTGCCAGCGAACACAACCGGAACTCGTCAAAATATCTGGACAAATGTGATACGAATTTCGTAAAGTATAACGAGGGAAAATATCATAATTATCAGCTACATCCCACCATAACTACTACTAATAATAGCACTATTGCTGCTATTTTACTATTCAAACTTCTACAACTACTGCCATTGTTTGTTATTAAACTACTAATATTAACATTATTACTACATCTATTATAAAGCGATGATTATGCTATTTCTGCTACTGTTACTTTCACGGCATTTACATATAGCACTCCTAGTTCAACTACTACTATTTATGGCTAATGTTACTGTTAGAGCGACTAATATTGCTATTTATGGTAATACAACTGTATTTTGAGCTACCGGTGATCTGCTCAGCTAATACACGACAGGGTGTTGTAATTATTCACACATGATTGGAGCAAATAGAATCAAATTACCGAGGACTTCAAAAGATTACAAATTACAAGGCACCAAAAAAGCTTACATATTACAGTCGATACAAAAGGTCACAAATTACAGTCGATACGAAAGGTCACAAATTAGAGGACTACAAATAGGCACCAATTACAGAGGACTTCGAAATATTACAAATAAAGCCAAATATCAGCGTATTAATGGACCCAAACATGGCTGCTTCTTAAAATAAGCCATACGGAACAGCAATGTAAGAACCTTATGCAAATCCATAAGATTGCGTTACTCTCAGTCAAGTTTCTGGTAATCTGTCTCATATAATTTGACTTTTAAAATTCAATTAATGAAATTTTTTGCGTACCAGTGCCACTTTAAGACAGTTTTCGACAAAAAATGAAATCACAGCACAATTTGAGGATAAATCACGAATGTTAAACAAATAATCTAGATTTGTTGATTTTTGCTATTAGTACAAGTAGAGGAACACGATATGAACAATGATCCATTATAGAGTTAGGTTTTCATAGAAAGGGACAGGAAGCCTCTGCGGATTGAAGGAGTTTAGGACCTGCATCTTTCTACAATTTAGGACCTGCATCTACGTTTTTCTCGTAGGAAAACGACTCACCTTCCAAGGGATGCAACTATCTGGTAGGTGTATAGAAACAACAGGTGAAAAGGAAACTTGCACCACCCTCTCGGACCTGCTGGGAGATTCTAACCTGGGGTCTCTCGGTTGTGATTCGACTACTCAGACTGATGAACTACAGAACTGTATTTATCTGAAGGTGAATGTTCACAGGACTGACATCGAACTCGGTCGAATATAAAGAGGGCTGTCTTCTGGCGTTTCCAGGAACCGCCTTTTGAAGACTAGTTTAAGAGTTGTGTCAAACTTGCTGGCAATAAAAATGATTTAACATTTTTATCAAAAGCTACTTGCGCCTGGTTTGAGATATTCAGAATTTTAAATTAAATTTGAGAGGAAATAGGAATGGTGGAGAATTTGAAGCAGAAGTGCTAACAAAGTTAGTGAGAGAGAGAGAGAGAGAGAGAGAGAGAGAGAGAGAGAGAGAGAGAGAGAGAGAGAGAGAGAGAGAGAGAGAGAGAGAGAGAGAGGGGGAGAGAGAGAGAGAGAGAGAGAGAGAGAGAGAGAGAGACACTTTCCATACAGTCTATACACCCACTACATCTACTGCTACTAGTCTAGTGTAGTGATGAATAACCGAGATGGTTATCAAGTCCGTACCAAAACTTACATATCATCTAGTAAATAAAATTTAAAATTTAGGTCCTGCATGAAGTTCAAGACTTAAGAAACTGGATATTCACAGAAATGGTCAAGGTATTCCTCTTTGTGAATATATGCCTTCATACTGCTATTAAGACGTCACAACTGCCTCATCTATGGCTAGTACTTCAATTACTTCTGTAATTACCCAAATAATTATATTTACTGTGAAAGTAGCTGCAATAATTATGCAAATCTTTATGTTCTGATATTTATTCTGTTTATGTTCCTACTAAGTTTGATAATAATAATAATAAAAAAAATATTTTCCACACACATATTGTTGTCGACTAACATCTACATGAAGGTCACACACACACACACACACACACACACACACACACACACACACACACACTCTTGGACATGTACTGTAGGGTCACATACACAAGGTACTGTACTCGTACACACATATACTAACATGTACTCGAGGCTTGTCATCTCCCCAAACACATCAGTCTCGGGTCGTTCCTCTAAGTTGTTGCCTTCAAGGTTCCTGCAAAATAAAATTATATTTATATATATATATATATATATATATATATATATATATATATATATATATATATATATATATATATATATATATATATATATATATATATATATATATATATATATATATATATGATTAAACCCCAGGACAGGACTAAACCTCAGGCTTCAGAATATATTCAGAAAGACTGAAGAGTTCACTTACATAGACATACAGGTATACTCACATAAATATAAAGGTATATTCACATAGACATAAAGGTATACTCACATAGACTCAACAGACACTAGATCGCTAAACGCCCCCTGCTCAAGGTGTCTCATACCATTGTCTTGAAGTACACTGAAAAAACCCATAGATTAAGCCACTCGGTCATGCTGTAACCTAAGTGTTTATGGTTGTACAACTGCTGTATTTAGCTAACGATTATATCTGTAAATAGAAATGTTTGTCAGTCGAAGGTTGAAGTTCAGACGCTTCGGGCTTGCCTCATCTAATCTCTGACATTAATTGTTGTTGCCGACGTGTTCAACACTGTCGTATCAGGATTAGCATCAATATATCGAGTGCCTCTTGACACAGTTTCAAAGCAACCCCCTCCACTCCACCCCAACGAATCTTATAATATCATTTTTATTACATATAAGGAATGTAAATGTAAAAACAAGAGACAGACAAATGTAGAATCTTTATCAGAGAGAGAGAGAGAGAGAGAGAGAGAGAGAGAGAGAGAGAGAGAGAGAGAGAGAGAGAGAGAGAGAGAGAGAGAGAGAGAGAGAGAGAGAGAGAGAGAGAGAGTTAGAGAGGGAGAGGGAGGAGTAAGACATAGCCTCTGAGAGGCCTAGTCAGAGCCCTAGAGAAATATAGACACACAGACATAGACAGAGAGAGATACAGACAGGAAGACACAGACTGAGAGAAACAGAGACACAGATGGAGGAAAAACAGAGAAAAAGAGAGATACAGACAGAGACAAAGACAACGAGACAAAAAGAATGTGTTGGCATCTATGAGGTTGGCCCAGAGGTTACATTACTGTAAATATTATTTTATCAACCCAATCATATCTAATAATTAAAACGAAAGAAAAAAAAATCCAATAATATAAAAAACAATAAAATGCAGATCTATTGCTTTTATGTTTTATTCTTTTATGTGTGGGTTTTGAGGTCTGGACTAGAGAGAAGGGAGGGTGGGGGCTTCGTGGAGAAGTGGGCTGCGGGACACTATGACACCATCACGTCGATGTAGCTTTAGATCGGATGATTCCCTCTGTGGGACGTGCAGTCGAGGTCCTGATTAAATTGTAAATATTTGAACAGACAAATGCATATAAAAACATTTATGATAAAGTATGTTTGATGGGATGCTGTATTTCCATGTGTTTCTGTGTTCTTCCCTGTGTTCCTGCTTATTTCTGTGTGCTCCTGAGTGTTCCTGTGTATCCCAGTTTCAGTCCGCCCAGGACCATTATCTTGTCGACGTGCCAATGGTCCAGGACGGACCGAAACGTTGTCAATTCTTTTATTTTCAGATGTGTGAGTTGCGGGGCTTAAATAATGGATTTCATTAGCTTTCCCTTATGCCACAGGACCTGTCTTGTACTCACAGTGTCTTCAGCTGGGCCAGACCTGAGAAGGTCCCGTTGGCCAAGGTAATCAGGTGGTTCCTTTCTAGAGACCTGAAGGAGATAAGGACATAAATTATCCCATCAAGAAATACACAAGAGGAGATATGAATATTTTCGTGTCAACATGTACGTTTCATAACATACTCTGTGCAGACGAGGAGTCACAATAACGTGGCCGAAATATGTTGACCAAACCACACACTAGAAAGTGAAGAGGCGACGACGTTTCAGTCCGTCCTGAACCATTCACAATCGACTTGAGAATGGTCCAGGACGGACCGAAACGTCGTCGTCACTTCACTTTCCAGTGTGTGGTTCGGTTAACATACTCTGTCTCTGTACGCTTTTCCAACCATAAATCAGTCCAATACATAAATCAGACGCAGAACTGGCACTTACAACAGGTGCAAGTGATGAAGGCCACAGAAAGCGCCGGGTGCCACGGTCCGGAGGAGGTTGGTGCCCAGGTAGAGAAACTGAAGACGGGGCATCTCTGTGAACACCTCTTCACCTATGTGATCCATCTTGTTCCTCTCTATGTACCTGCATGGACCATACTCATTCACTCGGGGAAAACTTGTCTGATTATACGGGACAAAGAAATGGTTCCTAGACGCACGGATAATGAGAGATATTCACGTTTTTACATCTGTTAATGACAAATACTATGCCAGTGTGTACAGCATCGAAAAGTAACATTAATTTGACGTTGAATCAACGGTGATAAAGTTGATAACGTTGATTTTTTACGCTGAATTAACGTGCGACTTAGATAGTATGCTCACTGGGATAGAATTTAGAGTTTCTCCAACTAATTCAGTAATTCATTTAGTCATA